ATTAATACATGCTTCCGGTATCGAAGAAGACATCTAGTCACATGGAACCCTCTAGATAACCAATACTCCAACCAGACTGATTATATTTTATCAATCGTCGTTGGAAGAGTCAGCACTGGATAGTCGTTCCTATCGTGACACGGAAATTGGTTATATGGATGGATCAGATTATGCTATGGTTCCAGCCAAGATTCGCATAAAACCGACAGCTCTCAAGAAGCAACGTCCTTTAAGATCTTTCAGCTATCTCAAATTAGATTCAGACATTTAGAAATTAAGTGCATTTCAAATCGAATTATTGAAGCACCTCATTGAAATGAACATCACTTTGCTTCCCTCCTGCTGAATAGAGTTATGGTAGTAAGAGCCAGCAGAATACACAAGATGGATTCAGACCAGGGTGCGGTTGTGCTGACCAAATATTCACGCTAAGAAGGGTGCTGGAACACTGTTTCAAACATCAGTAACCAACCATCGCATGTTTCATTGATTTTGTAGTTGTCTTCAATTCAATAAATAGAACAGTATTTTGGAGGGTGATGGAATGTGAGGGTGTTTCAGAAATCATTCGCCTCATAAGGGTACTTTATCAGCGTACATAGATGCAAGTCTATATATATGGGAAACTGGCAGATCCTTTCGAAATAAGAACTGGTGCCTGTCAAAGCTGCTTTCTCCTATATTATTCAAATATGCGATAAACTGGATAATGGACATTGGTTGTCGACACTGAAGAGTACAAATCAGTCCAAAGCAATAATCAAAGATCTTAATGCGCTGATGATGTAGTCCTTTTTGCTAAAAGTTGTAATGAAATGCTAAACAATATACTGACAACTGTAGCGAGAATCTGACTCTTGTAAATAAGACGAAAGGCTTTTCGTTTTATATACAAGAAGCTGATAAAATACCTATCTTTAGAAATTCATTGCCGCTTGAGGATGCCAGATTTTAAACATTTCGAATCCACTCTAATCCCAAATGGCCAAATGAAAGATGAAATTACCCGGATAATGGTTTCTTGCGGTTGCTGAAATCTTTATGGACTTGCTGCGAATCACTATTAAAACGAAAGTCTATATAGCTGCGATTCACACGATTTTACTATATGCCTGCGAGATATAGCTGATCAGAGTGGAAGATATCAAGCAGTTATCTTTCTTTGACCAATGATGTCTGAGACGAATTTTGCTGGTCCCCCGAGCGGATAAAACCTCAAATGATTGCATCCACCTCCGCCTATATACCATTTGCATTAATAATACCACCGTAGAACATCGTCTTCGCTCGTTAAAGCATGTTTTTCATCGATCACCACAGGAATTGACGACATAAGATATTTCGTTAAACCCTGTGACGGATAGCGTCAAAAGCGAGGTTCACCAATCAAGACCTGATATAGTGAGGAAAGATTATTTTGAACATATAGGTGGACCAATGATATATGGACTTAGACGATGGAAAAAGGAATGGCTTCTATTATTATCGACAATAGCATCGGATTGAAAATCCTTGTACCCAGCGGAGCCAGTCTAACCAGTAACCAGATGAGGGCTGTTAGAAGAAGTACAGTTGGAAATTTTGGTTTGTAGTGATCTATCTGTCTGGCCATCATGCGTCGTAAAATTGAGAAAATAATCGAAAAAAAGGATAAAACAAACAATTTACATCATTAATAGAAACCCACAGGGGAAGTTTTTCATAAATGAAAGTCAAGTGGATCGCCTTTTCTCCATATTACTCTTTGGTGATTCTTCTTTATGACAAGTAAAGACTGCAGTTCATTAGACGAAGCTAAGGCCAAAATCTGCTCCTCCGCTCAGAGCCCCCGTTTTTCTTTTTTATTTTTATTTTTGTTTTGCCATTTTATTTTATAAAAAATTTATTTTTGAAAAGTGAAAATTGTTGCTGAAAAATTCTGAATCATATAAAATGTTATTGGTCGAAATAAGGATTAAAATTTCTCTCGAAAGTTTCATTTCCATTTTCATCCGACACTTTCTCCTATTTTTTATTTTATTTATATGTCAACTCAGCGTTATAGAATTTTTATTATTCTATTAATTTATTATTTTGTATTAATTTTCACTGTTATTATTCTTTTAATTTTATAATAATAATTTTTTCCACTTCTTATTTTTGTAAAGAATAAATAATACAAACAAAGTGGCGATAGCAAATCAAAAATTTAAAAGTTTTTATAAATAGAGAAAGAAAAGTATTTTTCTGGCAGAAAGATCTAAGGAGAATATTAATAAGAAGAAATAATGAGGAAGAAGAAATAATGACGATGACGATGATGATAATGTAATCGCGGTTCGATGGAATGGAACGATTGTGTAAGCCTTAGACCACCTTCGCAATGCACTGGGGACAAGTTTATGAAGGTAAATAAGGACACCCTATCCCGATCATCCTTGAAACTATAGATCTTCCATTTGAGACCATTGATCCATAATCAAATCAAACCTTCCACTTAAGATGAAAAGGTAAAATTGAGGAAATAATCGAAAAAAAGGATAAAATAAACAATTTATATCATCATTAATAGAAACCCACAGGGGAAGTTTTTCATAAATGAAAGTCAAGTGGATCGTCTTTTGCGAAAAGGTGAAATGAAAAAGATGCATCTGTACCTCAATTCGCAATAACTTCTTTGATGAAGACATCTTTTTAATTATAGATGGCACTCACCACTTTAACCAATTTTGGTTCCACTCGCTTCCTGGCTACTATAGTTAGACACAGAGCTAACCTAAACAACCATTTTTTAATAAAGATAAAGAATCGGTTGGGACAGCCGAACTGCGATTTGTCGATAATTTAATCTTTCAGCTACACCTTATCTCCAACCGATGGTCAGTCAGACAAGAAAAAATGTAAAAAGTAAAATTATTTAATAAAAATCTTTTTACTATATTTTTACTTTAATATATTTCAGCAATTTGATATATTCATATTTTTCATTTAAAATAAAAATTTTCGACGAATGTCAACAATGCTTTTATCAGTTCCCTATCATATTTATTACAAATTTTCACAAATAATGAAAAGGTAAAAATTTAATCAAATATTTGGATAATTCATCTGATGAATTAAAGTGATAAGTGATTACTCGCCGTTTCCTGTTGCTTTCCCCTATTGTCTGCTATTTTTGCCCGACAAACTCACCTGGCGGCAAAGGTAGAGGTGGCTCGTCAGCAATATCCGTACATATATGACAAAACAACCGAGGATTATTGCTTGGACTATTGTCTCGATTGTGAAGGTTGGGATACTCTGGTAGGAGATTTGTTATTAAAAAATCCTCATTTCCGATGGTTCTGCCCATCCATCTGTATTTCTACTGCCGATCACTTGTTATAACGTTATAACAGCCTGAACGAGCGTAACCAAAAACGGGGATAACCGCTTGCTTTTTTACCCAGGAATGGAACAGTCGAGTAGACTGAACCATCAATAATTTGATTGTCGCTTTTGAGTAAACTTATCGTTAATCTGACAGGATTGTTTATAAATTTCAATTGTTTAACGGAAAGCAATCTTCGATCTGAAATTTAAGAAGCAGGTCGAGTCAAAAGACTAAGTGCAAAGAGAAATAATGTGAAATAAGCCGAACAGTCCTACTTCTTCTAACAGCTCGCATCATTACTGGTTAGGCTGGCTTCAACAAGGGTAAGACGCTTCCAAACGGCGCCGTCTGATACCATCGTCGACAGTAGTAGAAGCCATTCTTTTTCCATCATCTAAGTCCATATATTGCTGGTCCACCTATACGTTCAAAATCTTTTCTGACCGTATCATTCCAAGTCTGGTCCACCTTGCTTTTGCTAGCCATCACACGGTTTAGCAAGTAACGAAATATTCTATGTTAATTCTTGTGGTGAACGATGTTATATGTCAAGAACATATCTCAACCAGCGAAAAAGTTCTGCGATGATATTTAATGCAGATGGTATTTGAACAAAGTTGGATGATGCAACCATGTGATTTTTGTCCGCTCGATGGATCCGTAAAAAGTACCTTAGGCAAGAATGGTCAAAGGCAGAAATCTTCTTAACATCCTCCACTCTCATTGGTAATGCATCAGAGCCATATAGCAAGACCGAACGAATCATGGCTAAATAGATGCGCACTTTCGTTTTTAGGTTTATTTCACGACGGCTCCATAAAGATTTCGTTAACCGGAAGAACGTACTTCTGGTAAGCCGGACAGTCCAGCTGATAAGTAATCTGAAATATGAATTGTGTATGCAATTGGTTAACTAGCGTACGTTTTCTGCTCAACCACCATGATCACTGTTATAGTGATAATTACTTTTCCTACGACCTTTAAGCCTTCCCAAACCAACACCTTTATATTCCTTACGTTCTCCTCTTCCTCGCCCCTCCTTATCACTTCAAATTCTCCTCAGCCATTTAATCCACTCTCAGCGACATCCCACCCACATTCCTTCATTTTCTCCATCCCCCTCCCACCCACATCTCAACCCCTCCCCTTCATTGCGCCATTCACCTTCTCAACCACCCACTAATTAATTTCCCCTTTATCCCTTAGGTTCCAATTTAAGACCCTCTTCTTCTCCACATATCATCCCAGACCCTCCTCACGTGCCCCCTCTCTTTTAACCCTCATTCACATCGACTTCTAACCCGTTCTCTTCAGTCTCAATTCTCTTCTCAATATTTGCCTACCACATAGCCGCGTGCGTGTACATGCCACGCCCATATTGTATATGTCGTATACTGATTGGCTGTAATATGACGTGGACCAGTGAAAGTTTGACTCGCAATCATCGGCTGCGTTGCGTCTTCTCTAATTATCTCATATAAGTGGGGGGTTGTTCTGTTCTTTTGTGTATTAGCGCCTGGTACCATTGGCAGCGTTCTCCTCTATTCTTTAGCTTAACCCTTTGCGGGTTTATTCCATAAGTGGCCCATCCGTACTGGATTTTCCTTCCGCTGTAATTTCGTCGCATGATTGCAAGATTGTGGGTTAAATGTGGCTATCTAACCGATTAGTAACGTATGGAGCACCCACTAGTTTCTACTGTAAATCCACGAGGGGCGAATTCTTATTTCCTCACAGCGACCGTTTATTCATTCTTTTCATTCTTCCCCCTGGTATTCACGTTGGATAACTAATCCATTTTTAGTATTCCCCTCCATTTTCCCCTTATTATTGTCATTAAGTTAAATTTTTTCTTTCAGTGTTTTTGCTTTATTCCAGATATGATGCTCAAAATTTTTTTATTGTTTCAAATTATTTTTGTTGCTGTCGAATCTAAAATTTATTTCAAAGAACAATTTGGTATGTTGCAACTAATCGTTTTTTTTATTTCTTCTTTTATTTCTTTTAGTGTTTTTTTCCTGAATTTCATTAATTTTAAATTTGCAAAAGCAATTTTTTTTCTTGTAAAACAATTTTGAAATGAATAATAAAATAATAAAATGAAAAATATAGATGAAAAGATAAGTGTATGAGTATATATCGATTGCATTAATTACGCCAAAGACCAGTTAATATTTTTTTTTAATAAAATTAGGAAATCGTTTTTTTTACAAATTGAGTGTCCATTTGACATTTCGTTAGAGAAGCCGTTAGAATTCTTAGAGTTTTTCTTTTATTTCATTAATTTTGTGAATATTTTGTCGAACTAAAATGTATTGTATAAACACAAAAAAAAAATCTTATTATCATGGAAAAAATTAAAAAATTTCGTAAAATATTTAATTCGGTTCAAAATCGATTTGTGGATTTAAATATTTGTTATCATTTGATTTCTGAATTGTATAAAAACTTGTAAAAATAACAGATGATGAGTGGGAAAAACGATGGATACAGTCGAAACACAAAGATGATTATGGCAAATTTGTTTTGTCAGCTGGAAAATTTTATGATGATCTTGAAAAAGACAAAGGATTAAAAACGAGCCAAGTTTGTCTTTATTCTATGTTCTATGTTTATAAAGTTTTTTTGTGCAGACGAAATAAATATGTCTGTTGCATTATTATTATTATTATTCGTTATTCGTTATCAGTTTTTGATGAAATAGCAAGGTTAAATTACAAATTGTTTGGAAGATTTTTTTTGATTATTGGAATTACTCTTACCATTTTTGATTTAAATTATAGAATTTCATTTTTTTCTGAATTAACGAATTAATGTTCACTTGAAATGCAAACTTTTTAAGGATGCGAAATTTTATGCACATTCAGCGAAATTCACTAGTTTCACAAATAAGGGAAAGAAACTAATTTTGCAATATAGCGTGAAGCATGAACAAGGAATCGATTGCGGTGGTGGTTATATCAAGGTTTCTATTTTTTTAATTTTTCATTCAGTAGTAGTTCGTTCTTTATTACCTTTATTTTTTAAAGATAAATTTTAGGTTATGGGTGATGATATAAATCAGCAAGATTTCCATGGCGAAACTCCTTATTTTATCATGTTCGGTCCGGATATTTGTGGGTCGAGTACTAAGAAGGTTCACGTTATTTTGAATTACAAAGACAAAAATCACCAGATCAAGAAAGATATCACATGCAAGGTTTAATCATTTTTTAAAATTTTCAATCTTTTTTGTTCTTTTTAATAGATTAAATTATTAAAAAATAATCGAATTTTTTACAAAATGGTGTTTTATTTTCTTTGTTAAATATTAGGCATTTCATATTTCAGATTTTTGAGATTGAGGTTTTTTGAGATTGTTTTTTTTTTTAATCCATTAGCTAAAAGTAATTTTCACACAATACTTTCAGGACGATGAGCTAACTCATTTGTATAGATTGATTCTGGGCGCTGATAACACATATGAAGTATACATTGATGGTGAGAAAGTTGAAAGCGGTGAATTAGAAAGCGATTTTGATTTCCTGCCACCAAAAAAAATTAAAGTACAATTTATAACCTTTTTCTGAAACAATTCGTTCATCTCTTTCCCAGTTCTTTCTTTTTTTTAGGATCCTGATGCCAAGAAACCAGAAGATTGGGATGAACGCGAAAATATTCCGGATCCAGATGACAAAAAACCGGATGATTGGGATAAGCCAGAGCATATCCCTGATCCTGATGCGAAAAAACCAGAAGATTGGGATGATGAAATGGATGGTGAATGGGAGCCCCCAATGATTGATAATCCTGAATTTAAAGGCGAATGGAAACCAAAAGATATTCCAAATCCGGCTTATAAAGGGAAATGGATCCATCCCGAAATCGATAATCCTGAATATAAGCATGATGACAAACTATATTTGTATGAAAATATTGGAGCTGTAGGATTTGATTTGTGGCAAGTTAAATCTGGTACTATATTCGATAATATAATTATCACCGATTCTGCTGCAGAAGCAGATGTTAGTTTTCATTTCGATAATCTTTTTATTCTACCCACCATACTTTTCTCTTGTTTTTATGTTATTCTATGTTAAGATTTTATAATTTTATAAATGTAAAATGTTAAAAAGTGCAATTTTTAAGACGAAAATAATTTTTTGAGATGTCAGAAATTTTCGGTCTTTTTTAAGTAGAAATTTTGTATATTATATTTAATATTTAATTTAATATTATTAAGGAAAGTTTTTGAATGCACCGAGTGAATTTATTCTTGATTTTATTGTTTTTTAGAAAAATATATATTGGGAATTGGGTCTGATTGGGAATTCCCGTTGCGGTCAATCATTTTTAAAAGTTCTACCTTCTCTTAAAGATTATTTTGAAGATGGAACATATTTAAGGCATTGGCCGAAGAAACTCTGAAAAAAACGATGGTGACAGAAAAAAAATTGAAAGAAAAGGAAGATGAAGAAGCAAGGAAGAAAGCAGAAGAAGAGGCAAAAAAGTTAGAGGAAAAGAAAGATGAAGAAGATGAGGAAGACGAAGATGAGGGAGAGGAAGATGAAAAGAAAGAAGAAAAGGAAAAGAAGGTAAGGGTTTGTTGGTTATTTTTTTTAAATATATTTTAATATACAATTAGTACATATTTTCCTTTCGACATCAACAGAAAGTCTTCATTAAAAACATTTTCAGGAAGAACATGAAGAATTATAATTCAACACGTCAAGAATTCAACTGATATCTAAAATGGTTCAAATTCGGTATTAGATATCTTAAATTAAATAGTGTATTATTTTTTGTTGTTGTTATTCTTTTTTATTGTGGATCTCCAGTCAGTGTTACTGGGTTTCGATTATTTGGAAATTTTTTTATAATATACGATTGGTTGATCCTACATTTTTCTTTTAATTTATTTTCATTATCAGTGTTTATTGAATGGTATTAAATGATTGAATAGCTAATAATTTAATAATTTAAGCTCATGGAATCACTGTATAAGCATCTTTTAAACATTCAAATAAAGAATTTTTGTGTCCAATATCGAATTGTCATTAAACTAATCATTAGCCATTCTAGCAAAAGTTCTTTCTGTTATGGTGGGCATTTATTTTGCTTACAAACAGTTTATTTTTTTTATTAGAAAGTTTTATAGTGGTGATGTGTGTTGATGTTTGCATTGTTTTTTTGGTGAGGTTGAAGTTCCATAATTGCATGTGGATGTGGTAATTTTTTTAAAAACTAATCATTAGCCATTCTAGCAAAAGTTCTTTCTGTTATGGTGGGCATTTATTTTGCTTACAAACAGTTTATTTTTTTTATTAGAAAGTTTTATAGTGGTGATGTGTGTTGATGTTTGCATTGTTTTTTTGGTGAGGTTGAAGTTCCATAATTGCATGTGGATGTGGTAATTTTTTTAAAAAGTTTTGGAGATGTAGGGGATTCAGTGTACTGTGGGGATGATAATTATAGATAAAATAAGCTGATCCATCCTACTGCAAATTGCAATTCCTGTGCCAACTGTTATCCATTTTTGAGGTCTTGCAGTGTCTTATTTTGATAGAGGTGAATGATAATTGTTCTTTTTGGTCTGATCCTTTGGCTAGCTCGGCTTAGTGAAGTGGTATGGTTTAAATCAGTTATTTGAAAGGAAAGAATAACCATTTCAATGTATATTTCACAATATTTAATATTAACCTGAGATATGACTGCTTCTGTTTTCGTTAGATCTAAATGATGAGTAGGATGAGAGTGTTTCGCCGAAGGGTCATATGGCGCAGAAGGTAGACGGAAGGGTCGTAGCATTTTTAACAGTTTGCGGCGTTCTCTGGTTGCGCTGGGCTAGTTCCATTGATTGCCGGCGTTTTTGATTCCTATAATAAGCCGTTCTTAGTTCCACTGCCTAAGGCCTATCGCTTGCTCGCTAATATTTTCGAGATCTCTTCTAACTGTATCAACCCAGGTCTTGGCCGATAATTTTATTGCATTGTTATTTCCTAATATTTATTTTTCATGCTTAGCAACATTTTTTGACAGACTTAGCCAATTTTTTTTATTTTTACTCTATTTCATCCTATTTTTTTCGGATCTTATAGCCAGGTGACGAAGTATCTATGTGGAGGACGGAGAAGAATACGACCATCGTGCAGGTGGCATTCAAGCGATTCAAAGAGAGTGCAATAATATCAGAATGTTTGGAGAGAAACGGGGTATTTCGTGCAGTCAGAGGTTCGCTTCCTGACATCTGCTTTCACAGCCATATAGCAGGCGCAGTGCAGTTAGATAAATGCGAATATTTATTTTGACCCTAATTTTGTGGCAGTTCCACAAAGGTTCTGCATTCCTAACTGTAGGCTGGCATTTTCCAGAATCCAAATTCCGGTTCAGTTGTCGATATACGCTCTAGCATCTATAGCAATTCTTCATAATTATTAGCATTTGCATCTTATTTTAATGCAGTGACTTTTTTTTAAAAGCCGCTATTATCACTGGTTAAAGTCACTCCGTTGATCTGCCGCACTAGGCAAATATGCCAGAGGGTCCTTTGGCGATAAAATATAAGTGGGCTGCCAGCATCACTCGCAGTGACTTACTGCTCAAGGAAGTGAGACTGATACTTTGAATTTAATTAAGGTTGGAAGAAAAGTGCAAAAATTTTCAAAAATATAGAATTTACTAAATTCTCAAATATAAAACAATAGCGATGAGATTATAAATAAGCAAGCAACATGTAACCGTATAAATAAGTCTAAATTTAAAAAAAATAGTCCAAAAATAGATCGAAGAAAGAATCGCTCCGCTTTCGGATAAACTATAATTGCCTTTGAAATACAATAAAAATTTATCGTTTGCCTATTAGTTTTATAGAGATTTATGGAGATTTGTTAGCCAAAAGATAGGAAATAATAGATAAAAGTTAGTGGTCAGCAATTTGCATTCTTCTTCTTATCATTATTATCATTATTCTTCTTCTTCCAATAATAGCACGTGACTATTTCACCGCTTCTTTTAATTTGTTTGGCGAAAAGCATGAATTTATACATATGAGACATTAATGCCTAATAATTACGCATTGCATTAGATAAGAAATTAATCGCAATCCATTGATTCATCGGCATCAGAATAAGCATCGACAAGGGAATTCACTGCTGGACGATAGTTTATGAACATGTCTTTCGATAAATTATCAGCCTTATCAGTTTGTTGGTCACGTTCGTCATTTGTCACCACCATCATCATCATACTGTCACCAACTAAAATATTTTATTAAAGCTAAAATCAAAGTAAGAAGTAATGACTGGAAATGAATTTCAAAACGATGAAAACTAAAACCACAAATTGCAAATAAAATATGAATCGATTGTTACTGAAAAAATTAAGTGATAATTGATTACCAGTTATATTTGATTTATCATTATTTTGATATAATTGTGAGTTGTTTGTTACACAAGACACATTTTGATCATTCTGAAACTAATCATTTTTGATAGACTTTATATCTTTTTTTCTAACAGCGCACCTTTACTCGTTTGCCTAGCTGCGATCCATGAATACCGATGAATGTTGATGAGGTGCTTTCGACAAATCAGAATATTATTTCGGAATATAAGTGTACTGCATAACCAGTACCACCTGGATTTTGCTTCTAATGTAGGCTTATTCTCGATGAAAAAAACATCGAACTCTCGCTGCCGAGTAACCTATTGACAGTTGGCTTCTTGCCTCTCGGCATGACAATATAAAATTATCTTCTTTGGTTTTACTCATTCGAAGTAATATCAGAACAATATCAGTCGGTGCATTCTCCAGAAAATTCACATTTAAATTTCAAAGTACTTTAAGAATTCTTAAATTTTTAAATTAAAAACTCTTTTCCATAAAAATTTTACTTTAGTTTATCGCGTTTCAGTCTGTGCAATAAATTTAAGATAAGATAGGAAATTATAGAAAAGATAATAAACCATTATTAAATAATAAAGAAATAAGTAAATCATTAGAAAGACAAACCAGCGGACGATGACCAGACGAGCAGGTACTATTGGTTGTAGTTAGAAGTCGTGAACTGGGACGTCCTTCGCATTTTTCGAAATGGAATGGTGGTTGTGTTATTGATAATTCGGCTTCATTAGTAATAATCCAATTGTATTCTGAATTCCCGTAACAACGAGGCTTTTGCAAGATGGTTGTTGGTGGCAATGACAGTGCAGATGCACCACCTGTTGTTGTACAGCTGACACCAATAATTGATAGACTGTCATTTACATTCGTTAACCTATAAAAATTTTCATTTAACAATCATATATCTGCTATAAATATTTTTTAAAATCTTGATATAACCGCAAATTTTTCTAATGTATCTACAAATAAGAACTAATGCAAACAGCAGAGAATCTGAAATCTGATATGAACTTGGTAAAATCATATTGTATTTTTCATTTAATTACTATAATTATTAGAAATTATAATGAGTAAAATGGTTCAATAAATTAATGCCCTCATTTCAACGGCAACTCTAACTCTATTTAGAAAGAACTAAACCAATCTCAGATATTAAAGTCATGTTGGCAACTCCTCTGTACACCTATTGCCAAGTGACTCACGGGCAAAATTTGTCCAGTCGAAGAGAGCAGCTGAGAGAATTTTATCAGAAATGGTAAGATTTTCGTTTTTTTAGAGCCTTTTAAATCCTTTTTGAAATAAGAAAAATCTATGGATGACTTAAGTCATTGAGAACTTGATAGTCGAGTATATTCTTTCGAAAAAGTCCGAATATCCCAACTTCCTGTGCCTTCGCATTCTAATAATTGAAATCTGAGTGTTTTGGGTGATTGCATTTCTATCTCCAATCTCCAATTGACTTTCTGGCGAAGAAGCCTCATCCTAATAGCCAATGCTGCCAATAAACCCAGAAATTGTGATTGCTGCTCGAAGAAAAGGATTTAGTAAACCCACCCTTTATTTATACAAGAAGAAACTGAATTCGATCGTTTTAGGCTAGAACTGTCGTTTCGCAGAAATATATGACTTGATCGTTGTGACGAACTAATAGATGGTTTACATTGAATCGATTTCCTTAATACCTGTAACTTCTTAAAAGATTACTTTTCCAGGTTTTAAAAATCTCTGCTCCTATAAAAATTTGAAAATTTCCTTTCATATAACTCTGCTTACCCACAGTTATCGTATTGAGAGGTAAGGGGTTGGCTTCTTCAGCAGTGCAAATCTGTAATTCGAAGATCCAGGCGATCCTACCTCTAATTCTATCACTCCCTGGCAAAAATTTATAACTCCACTAATCAATCCCTTAAATTTCCAGGAAACAGTTTTCATAATAACACCCTAACTAAAAATGGTATATGCTAACTAAACTACCCTCTTTCGCTTTTTTTGCTCACAGTTTTTTTGAACGATCAACGAAAGACACCAGTCTATTCCTTTTTTGTAACAGTAAACACCATTTACGCTTCCATTGGACACCTGGATGAAGATTCTTAAATAATCTTTCGCCAAAGAATCATTTGGGCCTCGGAAAAATTTTTGGACAGAAAAAGATTGTGATAACTGATAAGAAATAGTTATTCATCCGTTTCCAGTATCAACTATCGATTTCAATTTTCAAATAAATATATAAATGTTTGAATAGTTTTTTTAAAATAATTAAAAATAAATAAATCATTTAAAAAAGAAATCACAGTGTCAAGTGATGAGCAATGTGGTACGGCTGGATATAAATTTTCAGTGGATGAATTCACGTGTTTTTTAGCGCTATCAGCAAAATTTGGCAGATCACGGCTACGTGAAAACGTCATTACGTGATCATCATTGGAATCATTCAATTGGCTCGGTGCGACCTCAACCATATTATCATTAATTTTTGCAAATTTAAATGTCTATTCCTTTTGCTGATTTTCTACAGAAACATTATGTTCTCAGAAATGAGTAACCAAGTGTGTCACGTCAAACAATGGTGCACGCCATATTTGCGAAGTCCGAACACGGATTTAATCTAATCCTTATTCATAGAAAATGCTCCAAAAGAATTAAAAATTAACCTGACATAAATCAAGTGCTGCAATCGTTGAACGCTTCCTTATATCGCTTAAGCGATTATCCTCAGGTCTAAGGATAACATCCTCGATTGCCCGTTTCAAATCGCCTATGCGCATGATGACCAAAAACTTTCCCTAATAATGTGAAAAGATTTTTAAGATTCAAAGAACAAGGCTTTTAAAATTGCTCAGCTATGAAGATAATTCAATTATAACAAATCGAACTGAAGTCGAATTAAAATAAAAAGTTTCATGAAATGAGATAAAGCAAAATAACCAAAAGGAAGAATTCCATCGTATCGGTCGAAAGAAAAATCAAGGAAAAAAGGAAAATGCTTAAAAAACAAATTTCCATCCCCTTCCGGCACATTCACCGTTTGGCTGGTTCCACTGACCGCTCGGCTATCTTTATCTGATGAGCGCCACTTAAGAATAAAATTATAGATGGGAGCAGAGCGAGATTCAGCTTTAATGTCTAACCGTGGTGGTTGGTCCCCCGTCGAAACGCATAGCATTCAACTGTTCTGTCCATTATTTCAAATATACAGGCAAATTGTAAGGACAGTATTTAAAATAAATGAACATAAATGATTAATAAGAAAATATTTTGAAATTTCCGTATGATTAACGTAAAAAATCTATAATTTAAAAGTTTTTTGTTGAAATATGAAAAGATTTAGTGAATCGAGAGGATTTCAAAAGAAATTAGATGTTTGACAAATTATTTTCCCCCCTATCGAATTAATTAATTGAATTCGTTCCTCGCCACAGCACAGTTATAAAATATTTCAGTAGGAAAGGAGGACAAAAACCACGTGAAACGAATAAATTTTTGTGGAAATCGACTGCCTAAACAGGTGCTTTGCAATTATTATTAACGTTATTATTAAATTTTATTCTTTTTTATTATTATAAATCTTAATTATAATTATAAATTAATACATTTTCTAAATCTACTTCCACGCACTTTTTATATTTTATTGGCTAATTTTCGACTGTAAATGTTTGTTTTATATTTTATTTCTGAAATGAAGTAACCTGGAAGTTAAAATCCTTGGTGCATTCAATGTTAGGAAGATAAGAAAAGTTTGAGAAGAACCTTCTTCTAACCTAACCAAACGGCAATAAGATTTTATTATCCATCTTTATTGCTTAATTCTCAAATAATCACTGTTTTAATATTCATTAATAATGTATCAAATAAATTATCAAATATAACAAAACATTATTCTTCAACATCGTTTACTTATCAATCATTTGAATCGTAGAAGTTAAATGATGGACCTCCTCGCAATTTGCATCAACCGTCGTTCTATTTACGTATGAGCCATCGTGCCAGTTTATGCATGAAGGCATCCATCTGCACAGTCTATTTACGAGTAATTTATATCCTTTCGAAATAAGATCTGTTATTCATTATTTTTTCCTCAACAATAATCAACTATGCGATTTATTGTATTATGGATACCGCTTGCCGGTATTCAAGAGCCAGTTTAGAGTATAGTATCACAGATCTTGAACACGCTGATGATGTAGTCCTTTTTGCCGCCGATTATGAAGGAATGCAAAAATGACCGATAACTTCAGCAAAATTCAAGGTTAATACAAATAAGACGAAAGTCATACATCTGACGGTGATAGAACGTCTATTTCTATCAATCCATCACGATCTGAGGCGGTGGAAGACTTTAAATGGATCCAATCTTACACCTAATGGCAGTTTTTTCATCTGGCGGAACCTCTGCGAAATCACCATCAAAACGAAAGTTCCATATATCTTGCTTCAGTGCGCAATAGCTTGCCATATAGCCATGAAATATAGCAGCAAAGAATGAAAGACGTTAAGAAGCATTCTACCTTTGACCAAGCAATCTAAGGCACATTTTTATGAGTGATAAAATCATACATAATTGCATTAACCTTCGTTCAAATACCATCTGCATTAACAATATCGTCATAGGATGTTACTTGCACTAGGGTTAGGCCATACTCTTCGTCGCCCATCGCATATTGCCAATTTGACGCATATTGCCAAAACATGTGATAAAAGTGTCAAAAGCGAAGACGAACCTGCACTGATATAGTGAGAAAAAAATTCGAAAGTATGGGCAGCATAGCCATACATGGGCTTAGAAGGCGTGAAAAGGAGTGGCTTTTTTAAATCTCAAGCATATTATCGAACTGAGCAGCTTGGAGGCACCTTTTCCTTGTAGTCAATGGAACCATCCTAACCAGTAATGGTGAGAAAAGTAAGAAGTAACACACGAACTCCCTTCTCAGTTAAGCATGAAATGTGCTCCTACTTATGCAGGAAATGTCCTCACAATTCTATAAATATGAAAATGCACCTTGAGTTTTTAAAAAATAATCCTTTTATATTTTCATTTCAAACGATTTGATTTGCTCCGTTCGTTCAATTTTATCATCAAAACATCTAAAAATTCAAAGCAATTTTTAATAAATTTGAAAAAAAAGAAAGGAGAAAATCACGATTTTTCGATCAAAAACGAATCAAAAACAAAAACGAAATTTAGTTAATTTATATTTTCAAACGGAAATAAATTTTTCTGTTAACGAAACGCACACCGCTTTAATAAATACAATAAAATATTTTAAATATATATTTGTCGAAATATAAAGTCAAAAATTTAAAATGATAATAGTAATATAAAAAAAATTTAATTCACAATTTCATTCAGTGGGCGATGAAAATAAATTTTATCAATAACAATAATAAAAACAACTAAACGAAGAAGGAAAGATAAAATGCTTTGTTATATACCATAAATATAGGGGTGGAAGAATAAAAAGAATAAAAAGTTCAATGGGGCAGATTTGGAAATGAAACGCCGCAGAGGGGACACTTGGTGATAAAAGTGCGGGCAGCTTCAGCAACACTTCTGCACTTCTGGTGGGAAGTTCACTCGCCTGAGGGATAGGAGTCGAATCCATAATGCTAATCATCTCCTTAAAATTAACCTTTCTAGAAGCAACATTTCAAACATTTGTTCTGACGATCGATGAAGCGAGCACTTCAGCATTTCTTGCTGAAAATTGATCCACTTTTTTTCAAATGAATAAGTCTGCGAATGGATTTATAAAATAAAATAAAGTTTATTATTTAATTAATCTTTTTAACCATATATAATTTTTATAATTCATTTTAGCGATTAGCGATTCCTTCGTTAATTTACTTAAAAATTATTCGCTGGTTGAAACACTATCGCCGAGCAGTAAATGCGTGGATTATTTGAGGTTAACCAGCCTCCTCTCGTTTTTGGCTTCTGCCCCGAGGGTCTTTTTCGTCCAAGGCTGTTACATGGCGGCGGCTTCTCTATCTATTTCTATTCCATTGCTCCTTTGACTCTTCATTGTCGTCCAAAGTTCTTGCTTGTGGCTCGTGTTGTCAGGCGATTATTATTTGCGACTTCTTGTTGATTCACATTCTTCGTCATGAAGCCACTGAATTTCTTCCTTGACTGATGCTTATCATCTAAACACCCATCCATCATTAATTAATCCTTGTTGATTTCGTTGATATTGTTGGTTGTTATTTGCTCGAATAATTTGCGACCTTTTTCATTCGCCGTTTGGCAACAAATATCTTTTCAATATTCAGTTATTATTCTTTTCATCACGTAGGTAACCAAAATTCGAGAACCGAAATGGCTAAATCGGCTCTCTAAGTTATATCCAAGAAATGAGCGGACCGAATCGGTTGCCGAAGGTTTAGCCGAAATAGACCGAATCTCAGCAACAGGCGAAGTGGGCAAAATGGATTATCACTTTATTAATGGAAATAATAAAATACAAATTAACGGATGCTAAATTGTTTTTACACAACGATAAGCAGCAAAGTTTCATTTTTTGTTAGTTTCGTTCTTTTGATAGAACTAAACCAATAAAAGTGAAATCTGAGCAGTGCTATGGATTTTTTTTTAGGAGTTTTCACCATTACTGATTAAACTCGCTCCGCTGTTTTGTCGCACTGGACAAATATGCCAGGGAATCCCTTCGCGACAGAAATGCAGGTGAGTCGCCGGCATCACCCGGATTTTTACTCCTGCAGGTTTATTCCTGCGGGAAAGAGAACCTCAGCATCGGCGCAGCCACAACCCACTAAGCCATCCTCTCCCCTTAAAGTGCTATAGGTTTAGCCGTATTTCTTCATCGTTCATAATTAATCCTAAAGCCTCTCTTGTCCCAACAGCCGCACGTCTCTCACCCCAATAGCCACAGGCCTTTCATCCTAATAAACAGAGGGACCAGTAAAAACAAATACTGCGCGCTATTAAAAGAAGAAACAAATGCATTGCAAAGAAATAAACTTTAAAATTTTTGAAATAAAATTCAACTAATTTTATGCATTAATTAATCGATTATAAAATCGCGCATTTTCGCATTTTTCGTTATAAAACGACGACAAAATAAATGTTGTTTTGCAGATGTAACAATTGATTGACATTAGAATGGGAAACGCAAAAGATTAATTAGATTAGAGACCGACCGACCGACCGACCGAACGGCCATCCATGCATTTACCCGTCCATTTATCCACTCACCGCGCAATTTTTAAAGGTGATTTCATGGAGAGACGAAGAGAAATGCACGGCGGAGAGAGAGTCACATGCACGGAAACTAAAAATCTAAAATCTACGACTGAGGCCAATATAATTAACTATCGACAATGCTGAATAAATATTGATGAATTTGTTTGAACAATATTTATTCAAAATATTCGATACTTCTAACCAAAATACGGTAAAATGAAAAATTCATATTTTATTATAATCCTTTTTGATAGGAAAGTACTAAAATTTTCGTCATTTCTTCTAATAGCATTCACCATTTCTGGTTTTCCTTCTTTTTCTCACATTCTCTTCCCGTCGTCTAAGCCCATACACCGCTGGTCCATGTACATTCAAAATCTCTGCTGAGTGCATTAGTTTAGCTCTTAATTGGTCCTCCTCGCTTTTAACCCATCCAACATCGGGCTCAGCAAGTAGCGAAATACGTGTCAACTCCCGTGGACGATGAATAACAGGCCTAACCAGCGAAGACGGTGCTCGGTGACGATAATGCAACAGATATTTTAACGACAACGGATTCTACCTGCT